TGTGGCTCGGAGCCGAGACTGGGGGACCGTAGTCCGACGCCCGTGTGGGTCGGGACGGTGGTACCCAGAGCCGAGACGGGCACCCTGGCTGGGTGTGTCCTGGAAGGCTACGGGGCGTAAGAGCCCGTGTCAGTATAGCTGAGTGGGTGTCAGTCACCCGAGTAGCTAAGGAGGGTGTTGGTCACCCGTGTAGCTGAGTGGGTGTTGGTCACCCGTGTAGCTGAGTGGGTGTTGGTCACCCGTGTAGCTGAGTGGGTGTTAGTCACCCGTGTAGCTGAGTGGGTGTTAGTCACCCGTGTAGCTAAGTGGGTGTTAGTCACCCGAGTAGCTAAGTGGGGTGTTAGTCACCCGTGTAACGAAGTAGGGTGTTAGTCATCCGTGTAACTACAAGTTGGTGAAAATAAAGAGTGTGCTACCCGTGAAGTCGTCTCCTGCCGAGTTACTACTTTACACACTCATTCATAATCGCAGTCTTGATTAACTCTCAATTATGTCCTATGAAGTAGGGCCGTTGCCTGAAAGGTCGATTAATGTTACTTTTAAGCTCCACGCAGTGTTTGACGAACGCGTGGAGTTATTTTGACAGCGAGTGAACGTACCACATGAAACGGCAGTGCGCACCGCACATTCGTGCGTTTGACTGCCCTCTAATGCTCATGGGTGTGATGCCTTGCCTCTGTTCTTGGCTCTGTATCATTGTGTTTCACGTTGTACATGAACGTAAACCGAATAAGATGTAGATTTTAACGTTTTATTTGGAGTGATTTAGATGTTAACACCCTCGCCTGGTCTGCAGGAGGTCGTGGATTCGATCCCGACCCCGACGCCTGCTGCATATTAGGAGTTTGCGTGTCTCTCTTTCTCACCGTGGTCGTTTTTCCCTCATTTAGAATCAACATCACGCTTTTAGAGTACTAAGTTACTGAAATACATTTCCACATTATGATAAGCCACTTCGTCATCATTTGATGGCCAGATCGTTTCTGAATAAGAGCTACATTGCTCAGTGTACCTTACCTGGTGAAATATAACGAAATATAGTCCATAGTAAATCGTTTTATTGAAGTTTTTACGAATGTGTTACTTGACACCTCGGACACCCTTGCGAACGAGAAGTTTAATCGAGCGACTTTCCCGGTAAAATATTTTAACCATCCACATCCTGGGGTTCACAACATCGGAGATGAACAAGGAAGCCAACATTACTTAGCACGAGGTTACAAACCTCACGAGATACTCCGTGGAAATGTGCTCAGGTGATCAAGGTCACAGACACGAGCTTCATACCGCACGTAGCTGGCTAGACACAACGTAAGACACGTTACACGGTCGGCTTTGACCACTTCCAGACGGGAGCCAGGTCCACGCGCTACGCTCTCAGTGGGAGCTGCGCTCGCCACGACTCTCAGTGGCTTCTCACCAATAGTAGCTCGCTGTGGCTGAGAGACGCTGTCCCTGGAGCGCACACGGCGGCGACGAACCAAGACACGAATCGACTCTCACCTGCGTAGACAGGAGCGTTGCATTCACACCGCGGTGTTGGGGTTTACGGGTCGCGACTTTTACAAAACCCAGAGTGGCCAGGCAAACGGTGATGGTTTGTCCCTTGGACTGATGTCGTTGGCTATGGTGAGGCTCTGTGGGTTTCTGCACCAAACCGTACCTTGTAAAACATTATTATAAAAGTTATTTTTTAAGTATGTCATCTATATCATTGCCATTCATTTGTTCTGTATTTATTTTAGCGTAACTGTTTAAAATTGTCTTTAAAAAATAGTAACCATTAATATTGTTATTTTTTTGACAAATCATCTCACAACTTAACGTGTAAATGAGTGGGGGATCAGGTGGGAGGGTAGGAGGGTGATCGTGTGGGTGGTTGTGCAGGTGTGTGTAGGTGGAGATTGGTGTTGTCGTGGTTAGTGTGCTGTGCTATGAACCTGCCGATCCAAGTTAAATTCTCACTCATGGCCACCAACACCAATGACCATTGTCTGAACTGGTCATAGGTCGATTCAGCCTCACATGATTACCTTGGTGTAGAGTATAAATATCAATACTCGAGAGACAAAGGCGGCAGGGCTTGGTGCTGGCCATCCACCCATTCGTGTGCCGTGCTGGCTTTCATAGATGTTCACTAACAGCACTTGCCCAACAGTCTGTTCAGGCTATACAGGGGATCTTTGCCTTTGTGCGGGTGGGTGAGTTGAGCGGGTTTGCAGGTGATCAGGTGGGAGGGAGATCAGCCGGGAATGGGCGCTTGAATATGCATGAGGTGGACAGGTGGGAGGGTTGCAAGATGGGCAGGTGTATGGCTGAGCAGGTGTATGGCTGAGCAGGTGTGAGTGTGGGCAGGTGGGAAAGAGGGTCTCTGTAGACGGCTGGGGGGGTAGTAGGTTAGGGAGTGGCAGGTGTCGGCGAGGAGAGTGTTGGGTGCAGATGAGTAGGTGGTGGTCATCATTACCAAGTGTAGTCATTATCATCATCATCGTGCTCTTCATCATCATCCATCAGTCAGGATCCATTCATCATCATAGCTCATGATGACGAGGAACAAGCAAACTGACAAAGTGCAGCAAAAAATAACACGAAATGCGCCATGGAATGTGGCCCAAGGCTACAGACAGAACTTACCTGTGAAGGCGTAGGCTGTATATTTACTAACCGTGCCCGGGTTTAATTTCCGAAAATATAACATCCATAAAACAAAACAAGAGTAACCATCCCAAAAAAATACATGTTTACCCAAGTCAGTCTCAGCTATGAGAGTCACATTCACAGCCTGGATGACAATCTTAACAATAAATTTTCAGATTTCATTTTTTATTCACCCTGAACACATTGACCCTTGACCCACAATACAATGATTCCAATTCACAGGTAACCCAGAACACAATCAAGTCTATGTACATTTACGTGATCTAACCCAATAAACCTTTATCATTGATATAATTGGTCGTGAAAGCCTACGTGTTAAAGTCGATTTGTTTAACCAGGTGAGAACTCAAGAAACCAGTATGAGTCTCGGTTACACGGAGTGATGATAATGATGCTGCTGCTGTTGATGATTCTGTTACTGCTGATAATGATTATATCATTATTGATGCTAGTTCTACTCCTGGTGCTGATAAAGATAATGATGGAGCTACTGCTGTTGATGCTGTTGCTCCTGTTACTATTTTTTCTGCTGATGATATTTCTGCTGATGCTGATGATCGAGTCGAGTTGAATTTAAATTTAACGAGGTGAGGACTCAGGAGATCAGGATGAGTCTCATTGACAAGAGTGACCTGGGTCACAAAAATTTAAAGAACAAAAGTCAAACCCATGCAAGCAATGAAGCAAGTAGAAATCTCACCCCCAGCCCAGAGCACAATTTGATTGGAGTTCACACAATTACACAACTGATACGATATAATCAATGCGTCTCAAATCATCTACGCGTTGCTAAATAGCCTGAGACTCGAGGTTGGGTGCACACGGGATTGGTGTCTCATGTTAAGGAGAGGCGCTGCGGTGGCTCAGAGATGTTATCTCCCTCGCTTGGTATGAAGGAGGTCGTGGGTTGGATTACGACCCTGAAAGCTGCTGTATTTGGAGTTTGCGTTGTCTCTATCCCTGTAATAACACAGTGTCTGTGTTATTAATGCGTTTTGAAACAATATTAGTCGTGTCGTATTGTAAGGTAGATCGTCACTCTAGATATATATCAGGTGCTTAATAACTTTATCCCACTTCAAAGTCAAAACACAGTTCCCATTGTCAGCAGAAGCGTTTTCCCATAAATCGAAGGTTGTGGCTTCAGGTTCAAAAGTCTGACAGCAGATAATTAAAATATTAATCAAAACAAAACTTTATGAATAATATTGGTGGCGAAAGACCTCCTACTACTACTATGTGTTAAATGGCTTCTCTCTCTCTATGCCCTGTAAAATAAACTAGTTTGGGTGGGGGGGTCATTCGACCGCTGGTTCTAACAACAATGCTTTATCTCAGCGACGCTCGGCACACACCACGGAGTAGTCCCCTCCAAGTGATGCCATCCCATTCCCACCCCGGGTTTATCACCCAGCGAGTGAGTGACCGCGAGGGGACGGCGCGCGTCACCCCGTAGCGTCACGTGACGCGTGTTCCCCGCACGCCTGTGGTGGAGCTCCGCCCTCTCGGCGTTGAGCGCCACGCGGCGTGCGATGCGGTGCGAGGGACGATGGCGTCAGAGATAACCTTGCCCCCCCCCCCCCACTAGTGCGCTAACCACTGCATCACCGCTCCACCCCACACTACACACATGGCTCTCTATACACTAAAGACAATGACACCCCGTGTAACCTTAACATACTGTTGGGGCAAATGCTGTTAGTAGCGAGTCGCACCGATGAAGGCCGGTACTGTGACACACGAGGGAGTGGGAAGGCAGCACCACGCCCAGAAATACACAAAGACACGCACAGACAGTAACAATGACACAAACACAATAACAAAGACCCACAAAAACATACACACCAACCCACTTACCCGAAGACAAAGATCCCCCGTATAGCTTTCAAATACAGTTGAGTTAAGTGCTGTTAGTGAGGTTCACCTATGAAGGCCATCCTGGGAGTGACCCGCCTTTGTATCCACAGGGGTAATATTTGCTCATCGCGCCATGTAGTAATTTGAGGCTGAGTCGACCTAGGTGAGAGCCAAGGCCGATTCATATAATCGCTATCAATGTTGTTTGTATACAGGTCATGGGCCTCCACTAGGTCGACCCAGCCTCAAATGAGTACCTGGTGCGGTGTGTAAACATCGCCACTGGGGAGACAAAGGCAGTTGGACGTGGTGCTGGCCACCCACCTCCTCGTGTACCGTTCCGGCCTTCATAGGTGCTCGCTAACAGCACTTGCCCCAACAGTCTGTTCAGGCTACACGGGGGATCTGTGTCTTTGTGTGCGTGAGTCTCTGTGCGTTGTGCCCGTTTCTCTGCGCTGCTCACACTCCGTGCTCTCAGCACGCACGACTCAGATCCAGAATCCTCACTGAGTTACCAACATCACCACCATACACCCACAGCGCGGGGTAGAGCGGTTGACTAAACGAGTGGTGGACGGAGTGCAGCAACTCCATGGAGTCGGCGCGGTAAAACGACAGCAGCCCCGCCTCCCAGTGCAGGTGACACCCGACTCTCCGGGGAGGATTCCTCACCGGCACTGAGGTCCAGACATCACCATGAAGCACGTAGCAGCTGTTGTAATCTTTATATAAAACCCAGGATGAGTCGTTCTGTCCAAGGCTGCACTCTTTACCACCCCCTTTCCGTGCGATCGTCCCGTACACGACTCCAACCTTACAGCTCCTCGCCGCACCCCCCAGGTCCATCTCCCAGTAGTGCTGACCCGACGAGAAGCTCTCGGAGCACAGGACTTGGTCCCAGGCATCAAAGCGGTTTGGGTGATCGGGGCGACCCTGGGAGACAGCGGTCAGCGTCACCGTCCTGAGGTCCGAGGAAATCTGGAGGTTGTTGTAGGCCGAGTTTGGGTCCAGAGTCGGTGAGCGTCCATCTGCAGTAACAGCAGCACCACGATAACAATAGCACTCGTGCACTAACACGCACGTACACTACAATAGAGCAATTCATAATGAGCTTTATTATACAACGTTGTTATGCGTAGCTATCGGTGTGATGACATGTAACGGGCACTTTGTCAATCCACTGCTGGATGACCATACTTCACCACGCCGGTCACCACACGTTGGCGAAGGCAGGCGGCGTAGCTGGCGAGAGCACAGAAGTACAGTACAGCGGTGCATTTACCCGCCCTGCCATCTGCTTTCCCACCACGTAGCCCCGCAGCCTGTAGCACCTGCTAGGCATGGTGGTGACTGCCCCGCCACGTGGCCCCGCAGCCTGTAGCACCTGCTAGGCATGGTGGTGACTGCCCCGCCACGTGGCCCCGCAGCCTGTAGCACCTGCAAGGCAGGGTGGTGACTGCCCCTCCACGTGGCCCCGCAGCCTGTAGCACCTGCTAGGCATGGTGGTGACTGCCCCGCCACGTGGCCCCGCAGCCTATAGTACCTGCTAGGCAGGGTGGTGGCTGCCCTGCCACTTGGCCCCGCAGCCTGTAGCACCTGCTAGGCAGGGTGGTGACTGCCCCGCCACGTGGCCGCGCAGCCTGTAGCACCTGCTAGGCATGGTTGTGGTGGCTGCCCGTGCGAGCCCTGCCCAGGCGCAGCCCCTGCGGGGCTTTGCGAGGTGCCAGGAGGTGGGGCAGTGGATCGCAGAAGCAGCAGCAGCAGCAGCAGCATCAGCAGCGTGGATATCAACACGCCGTAGCGTCCGTGTGTGTACAACAAACTCAACGATCTCCCGTATAACCTTTCACAGATTGTATCAGCAAGTGCTTTTGGTGAGTGGCTGTGAAGGCCGACACGGCACACAAGGGGCTGGGGTTGGCCAACGCCACGCCCGGCCGCCTTTGTCTCCCATGTGGTGACGTTTACACACGCACCAGCTGCTCACTCGTGTGATAGTGTCGTGATGTACACTCGTGTGTGATAGTCTAGTGATGTACACTCTCTGTGTGTGATAGTGTAGTGATGTACACTCGTGTGTGTGTGATAGTGTAGTGATGTACACTGTGTGTGTGATAGTGTATTGATGTACACTCGTGTGTCTGTGATAGTGTAGTGATGTACACTCGTGTGTGTGTGTGTGTGTGTGATAGTGCAGTGATGTACACTTGTGTGTGTGTGTGTGTGATAGTGTAGTGATGTACACTCGTGTGTGTGTGGTAGTGTAGTGATGTTCACTCGTGTGTGTGTGTGATAGTGTAGTGATGTACACTCGTGTTTGTGTGTGATAGTGTAGTGATGTACACTCGTGTGTGTGTGTGTGATAGTGTAGTGTTGACTGCGGTGTTTAAACATCGCCACTGGGGAGACAAAGGCGGTCGGGCGTGGTGCCGGCCACCCACCCCTTCATAGGAGCTCGCTAACAGCACTTTCCCCAACAGTCTGTTAAGGCCATACAAGGGATCTCTGTCTATATCAACGTATTGGTATATGTTCATACGTGTTCTTTTGTAATTAATTTGTTGTTGCCTGTGTAGTGATTTCCACGGGCAACTTTGCTGATGCCTTGGCCTGGTTGTCTAATGAAACCTAAAGTTGCCTTTGATTCTGAGAGCTTCAGGCTGTAACACTCAACCCTAAGAATCCTCAAGGTGTATGTATCTCACTGCCTCAAGCACTAATAATGAATCCTAAACATCTCAGCCCTAGCGTGTGTGTGTCAGACTCACACGCAGAAAAGCAATAGCATCCTCACTCAATTATACACATGTGTAATGTTAATAGAGGTCAAGTAATAGTGATTTGCACTCATCTGTGTGTATGTGCTATATTTTAATGTGTAGGTATATTGATATATGTTTTTTAGTAGTTTACCTTTTTGGCTAGGTAGTGAGTTAGACGGTCAACTAAGGTCAAGCCGGCTGGCTGTCTGATTGGCTGTCTGATTAACCTCTGAATTGTAACACAGAATCCGAAACGTGCCTTTGAGTCTTAGAGCTTTAGGCATTAACACTAAACTCTATGAATCCTAACTGTGTGAGTCTGGATATCGCAGCCTCAAGTACTAATAATTAATCATAAGAATCTCAGCCACAGTGTCTCTGTGTAAAACACACACACAGCATAGCAACAGCATCCTCATTGAATAATACACACGTATAGTGCTAATAGAGCTCATGTAATACTTCTTTACACTCGTGTGTGTGCTGTATGTTAACGTAGAGGTATTGCAATACATGGGCAATAGTAATGTATCTGTATGTATGTACATTGATACACATGGTCAGTCACAATGATAGCCTCGAGTATTAACATTGAACCCCAATAATCCTTACTGTGCCTTAGTAGGGATATAGCAGCTTCAAGCATTATGAATGAATGAGAATCATTAGGCTGTCTTAGTCTGGTTATGAGCCTACAGCATTAACAATGAACCATATGCATCACAATGGTGATGCAGTTGGCTCGAGTCTGATGATGACATCTATCACAGAGAAGACTTATAGTCATTGATTAATCTGCTACAATGGTTACTTTGGCCAACATCATCCTCACTGGATAATACTCGCGTGTAATATCAATGGAGCCCATGTAATAGTGAAATACCCTAGTGTGTGTGCTATATATTATCGTCTAATGAATACAGTATAGTCGTAATGTGTGTGTGTGCACGTACAGTTCGTGATAGACAAGGTTGACCATGGTTATGTCTTTGTCTGGCTCTGAGCATCAGCCATTAACTGGGGAACCTAAGAATTCTTAAAGTGCCTTAGTTTGACTCTCTCTGCATCAAACTGTTAACATGAAGCCTAAGACTCCTAAAAGTTTCTTAGTCTGGACGTATGCTCCTTGGGTATCCTACAGGCAGCCTTTGTGTCTGCATTGGTGATTGTTTACAAGACGTCCTAGGTACTCATTAAGGCTGAGTGGACCTAGGAGAGCTCCAAATTGGTTCTGAATCCACTCACCACTGATGTTAGCCAGGGCCGTGAATAGCCTGTTGGTGACCATGTTTGTATCTCAGTGCACAAACCATCCCATTTTGACTGGACATCCATACTTACTCTCGCTCAACCATACATCCATACACCTCCGATTATCACAGTTGGTGTGAAAGAAGTTCAATATATATCTATACACTATTACAAAGACACGATACCCCGTATATCCTCAACAGACTTTTGGGGAAAGTGCTGTTAGTAAGCACCTATGAAGGCCCACACGGCACACGATGGGGTGAGTGGCCAGCACCACGGCCGATCCGCCTTTGTCTCACTAGTGGTATGTTTACACACCGCACCAGGTACTCATTTGAGGCTGAGTGGACCTACGGGAGGTCCAGGACCGGTTCAGATAACCCATCACTGGTGTTGGCCTTGAGCGGGATTCACACTCAGGATGCCAGTTTCATAGCGCAGCAAACTAACCACTATACTACCGCTCTGCAACGTACATGTACAAGCACAATTGCATGTGTAACGGGTTCCGGAGACACTTGTAGAGGTAACTTCTTTATTACAATACAACACTCCAACAGTCCAACTCTCCAACAGTCCTGATACTCTGTTACAGCCTAGGTACACAGCCAAGCTACACAGCCTAGATACTCTACTCTGGCTACGCTCCGGAACTCGCCCTCACAAGGTCGTAGAGTCGGGAGTTCCAGAGTCCCAGCGCTGGCTCTCACAGCATCCCAGGGTCTTCAGATGGCTGGTCGTGGGTCTTGGGTATTGAGTTACAACTGGGCCCCGATCGTCCAGGGAGCTCTCCTTTTATGCCTGGTCCAACAAGGGGTGGGGCCGTGTGCGCCACCAGACATCCCACAGAGCACACACAGCCCCCCCCCCGTTGGCGGCGCCCAGAGGCTTAAGCGTCTGGACCCCCTGGGAACCCAACGCCTGGCGCCCAGAGGCTTAAGCGTCTGGACCCCCTGGGAACCCAGCGCCTGGCGCCCAGAGGCTTAAGCGTCTGGACCCGCCCGGGAACCCAGAGCCCCCAGCAGCCCCTCCCTTCTTATGTCACTACACATGCACAATAGCAGATGCACACATGGCAATAGTCCGTGGTACTCACACATGAATGCCAGCAGGTTGACCACAGCTCCCTGCAGGGCACTGATCGAGGCGATGTCTTTTTTTTTGGGAGATGAGGGTGGAGATCCCTTCTGAGCGTCTCTCCTGTGAGACCAGAACCAAAAGTGACTCGCACAGCCCGTGTCTTACACAGTACCAACGCACACAGCATCATTACACAGCATCATCATTCACAGCATCATTACTCACAGCAGCATCACACAGCCCGGGTCTTACCCAGCATCATCTTATGAAAAATAAGAATAGGTTTTGCCTTTTCTGCCAAAAAACTAGGTGCTCTGATGTTCAAACACCAAATAGATACTTTTTTGTAAGGAATCAAATCTGCATTAACCACACGTACTTGTGGTGAACATGCAAACAAACATTCTCTGATAATCATATATGATGCAATGCCATTGAAACTGATTGGCCTAGAACAGAGACAACCTTCTTTATGGCCTAGTCTCACCAGTGTCAGACCAGAGAAAGCCAAAGGCGAACAGTGAGCATGTTTGTTTGCAGGTTCATAACAAGTACGTGTGGTTTAATGCAGGCTTGAGTCCTTTCCAAAGGTATCTATTGCTGTTTGAACATCTTAACACCTGATTTAAAGCTTTCATGACTGCAGGGGTTCATATTCTTCGTTCTTTCGGTAAAGTCACGCAGAAGGGAAATAATAAAATAATATAAATATAAAACAATACAAATTCTCACGACGTTTCGACTGCAACACAAGCAATCGTCACCAGGTGTTAAATCCACAGCAAGAAATTTTGAAAAAAGTGGCGGTTTGTTCTAACGTCAGCACCAAGGACAGCCATTTGGCAGTTTGCCAGATGGATGAGGTCATATATGTTCGGAAAAGAGGAGGGGGGAGCAGAAAATGGAATGCGGTCTGAAAATCACCGTAAGCGTGAACACAATAAATTAAGACCCGAAATGGTTTATCAAATCCTGCCAATGATTGCTAAGCCAGAATCCATCTTCTCGGTTGAAATTGTCTCTGTGTTTGTATATGTGTAATGCGAGCGTGAATGGGGTTTCTGCTGGACTCTGGCCCAATCACACGACCCGGGGTATTGGAGGTGGAGCCAGCAGGGCAGTATGGGAAGAGGGGATCTGACGATCCGGAAGGGAGGAGTCAGGGTCACGTGAGAGAGAGGTTATAGAGAGGAGCCCGGAAGAGATCGAGGGCAGTCGATGGAGTGAAGAGGCGGGACCACGTTGGGTGGCCGCCGCGCCATCAGCCACGTGGCTGATGGGGCTTGGCACACCGTCAGCCAGCGGTGTGCAGAGCGAGAGAAGAGTGTGCGGGGCACACGGGGCTAGCGGGGTGGCTAGCGGGGTGTGCGGGGCATATGGGGCTAGCAGGGTGGCTAGCAGAGTGTGTGGGGCACATGGGGCTAGCGAAGAGGCTAGCAGAGTGTGCGGGGCACACGGGGCTAGCGGAGTGGCTAGCAGAGTGTGCGGGGCACACGGGGCTCACGGAGTGGCTAGCAGGGCGTGCGTGGCACGCGAGAGGAGACGCTGGTCCCTTGTCAGGACCAGCGGGGTGACGGACGAGTGGAGGAGCTGAGGAGGAAGCGAGTGCGCGGGGAGCGCGAGAGACGATGCTGGTCCGAGGAGGAGGCCAGCGGGGTGCGGAGAACAAGAACCCAAATAAAGGACGAACGGAGACTTACATCGCCTGACAGTCCTTTATTACATATGTATATGTGAATAGCCTCATGAACGAACCTCTCATGGTAGCCAGATGGCTTGCAAAGAACCTCTGTCTTGGAGAAATCAATGTAATGTGAGCCCACTGAATTATAACAGTGATCTGCCATGGCCGAGGTGTTGGTCCTTCCGTGTTTTAGGTCTGCTTTGTGCTCACGGATGCGGTCAGAGACATGTCGTTTGGTTTCTCCAATGTAAATACTACCACAGAGGCAACTCGGTTTGTAAACGCCAGGGTACTGTATGTCCGGAATCACATCTTTTACAGATGGAACCAGATCACAGATTTTATCGGAAGCGAGGTGAGTGGGGGCGGAACCTAAAGGCGGAGCCAGCAAGGCGCTATGGGGAGGCCGGATCTGGAAGGTTTGGAAGGGCGTGGTGAGAGGGAGGAGACAGGATCACGTGGTGAAGGGGATATTTGGGGGAGCCCGGAAGGGCTCCGGGTCAGTTGGGAGAGTCACAAAGCTGTACCACGTTGGGTGGCCGGAGGGAATCCGCGCCATCAGCCATGTGGCTGGAGGAGCTTTAGCACACCGTCGGCCAGCGGTGTGCGGAGCGGAGGAAGCGAAAAGACTGACGAGAGAGCACGTGCGGGGCGCGCGCGAGGAGCAGCGGGTCCGCTGTCGGGACCAGCGGGGTGCGAGTGTCAACTAGAATAAAGAGTGATGGAGACCAAGCAGTGTGTGGTGAAGTCCTTTATTACATTGGGGTCAGAAGCGGTTCGAGATGTCAAAACATCTCAAAAAGAAAAAATCAACCAACACCTTCTTCAGATGACGACGGGGACCTTCCTCAAGCGGTGGCGGTCCCGGACACGGATGGCGTGGATGGGACGGCGGCAAGCGACACTGCGGGAGTGCAAGATATCGTCGCGGGAGCCGAACCTTCTACATCTTCGGGCGCCGACGATGGCTACTGGCACGTAGCAGAGCAAATTGACTCGCTGCGGGCCGTTTTGCTGGACTTGGTCACTCTGGTCGCGCCGGCGCCGGGACAGTGATTGTAATTATATACTAGATTAGTAATCAGGCTAATCTAGTATATAATTACAATCACTCCCCCCTTGAATCTTTGCACCTGATGAGTTAATGAGTTAATGATGACGTCACCCTGCTGCTGCTCTATATAAGAACGGGTGACACAGCAGAGCCTCACCATTCTGGCGAATTGCCCGATGATGCTGGATGCAATTACCAACGAAACGTCGTACTCAAATTGTAAATGTTGTGGCTTCAACACACCGGTGGGCTAAAGCAGTGAACTATTTGTCTTTTGTCAACGTGACACTTTTTTACTGATTGGCCGTGTCGGGTGGTGGAGGGTTACGACACATTTATAAATAACGCGATCTAAACCCAAAAACGTTGATTATGAATTAATTGTCTCGCACAACGAGTCTGTGTGCAAAATGTCAGCTCGATTGGATCACGGGAAGTGGGTTAAAAAACGACCAAAAGGTTTGCACGGTCGTAAGCAAGCAAGCAAGCAAGCACGCAAGCGAACTTAATATAAAAGATTTAAAAAGGATGGTAGCCTGCGATTGTGTTGATTTTTGGAGGCTAAATAAAGTGTTGGTTGCAGACGCGTACCTCCTGCCGCGTATGAATGATTTCCTCGATGCCTTGTCTGGGGCGATATTTTTTTCGACCCTCGACCTCTCCTTGGGATTCTGGCAGCTCCGCCTGGACGAGTTGTCGAGGGAAAAGACAGCTTTCCGTACACCGCAGGGGCTTTTTCAGTTAAATTGTCTCCCCATGGGATTGAACGCCGCCCCTGCTACGTTCCAAAGGTTAATGGAACTCGTGTTGACCGGCCTGCAATGGGACACGTGCCTGATATATTTGGACGTCATTGTTTTCAGCCTCACGTTTGAGGAGCATCTTAAGAGATTGGATGCTGTTTTTGCTAGGGTGCGTTCCGCTAATTTGAAATTTAAGCCCAAGAAGTGTCACCTTTTGCAACACTCCGTGCGCTATTTGGGTCACATTGTCAGCCCTGATGGTGTGGCCAGAGACCCGGACAAGACGGCGTGCATTTGGGACTGGCCGACTCCGGCCACGGTGGGGGACGTACGTCGATTTGTCGGGTTCACTTCCTATTACCGCAGATTTGTACCAAATTTTGCTACGATCGCTAGGCTGCTGCACCTCCTTATGGCAAAGAATCAGAGGTTAAAATGGGGGCCGGAGGAGGAGAAGGCGTTTTGCGGCCTACGCAATTGGTTGGCATCAGCACCGACGCTGGATTACCCTGATTTCGCTTTGCCTTTCATTTTGGATACCGACGCTAGTGATATGGGTATTGGCGCCATCCTATCGCAGTGTAAGGGTGGCATCGAACGCATTGTGGCTTACGGGAGTCACGTTCTCTCTCTGGCTGAGACCCGCTAATGCGTCACCCAGCGGGAATTGTTAGCTATCGTGCATTTTGTCCGCCAATACCGGCCGTATCTGTATGGCCAGAAATTCATTGTGCACACGGACCATGCGGCTTTGCAATACTCCTTGAAAGTTGACGAGCCATCTGGCCAGCTGGCACGATGGCTGGAAACTTTGCAGGATTTCTCGTTTGACATTCAATACCGTAAAGGTTCGTGTCATGCTAATGCGGAAGCGCTCTCCCGACTGCCGCATGGGTCCGCCTGCACGTGTACCTCGGGCACGAATACGTGTACGCGGGTTCCACAGCCCCCGCGGCCTGTCATATCTGCTGTGGAGAAGCCCGCGGCTTCCACGTGCCCGGAGCCGGCTGATGGGGTTTTGAATTTTCCGCGTTCCGTGTGGCTTCGTGAACAATTGCTCGATGACTCGCTTGCAGCCTTGCGGAGTCAGGTTGCAAAGTCGAAGGGGTATCCGTCATCTGATGGGATGCCGGGAGCAGCTCTCTGGGACGGATTGTTGATGTGGAAAGAGGACTTGCAGGGTCGCTGGCGCCTTGTCGTTCCGTTGTCGTTGCGGTACGAGTTGATTCGGATTCTACACACTAAAAAGTTGTTACATCTCGGGGTGCAGAAAACCTTGTTGACGTTACAACGTGATTATTTTTCGCACGGCATGATGACTGACGTTGTTGGGCACATTCAGGCGTGCTCCGACTGTGCCCGGCGGAAGCCGCCCAAACAACCGTATGTTCCCCCGGTGCAATCGATTAAAGTGATGCAGGTTAACAAATTGGTGGCGTTGGACATTCTGTTGGTCGGGGTGGAATATCTTTCGCGATGGCCAATGGCTTGGCCTTTGCCCGACCAGTCGGCGTCGTAAGTCACGGAGGCATTCCTGTTCGGGTACGTGATGGACAAGGGGGCGCCGGAACGACTGCTCACGGACCAAGGGCGAAATTTTTCTTCGAACCTGCTGCGGGATGTGTGCGACGCTTTGGGAACTAAGAAAGTTCGGACCTCCCCCTACCATCCACAAACTGATGGGATGGTTGAACGGTTGAACCAGACCCTGTTGGCCATGCTCTGCCATACGGTTAGTGAGAATTAGGCCGATTGGGATTTGCATATTCCGGGAGTGCTCTCCGCTTACTGGATGGCACCACCTGTGTCGACGGGGTATTCACCTTTCTTTTTAATGTATAGTCGCGAGAATGTGCTGCCTGTGGAGGTGCAACTTGACACATGTACGAAGGGTCCTGTTAAAAACCTCCCCGATCATATTCGCGAGTCCGTTCGGCGCGTGGCGGAAGCGTGGGACATGGCCCGATTGGCTACGGCCAAGACCCAGGCCCGGAACGAACGGTGTGCTTGGCGCTCTCATCGTGTGTCCCCTTGGCGGGTGGGGGACATGGCCTGGCTCCACTGCCCACAGGTGCCGGTGGGGACCTCCCCTAAATTGCACCAACCTTGGCAAGGCCCAGTGGTGCTGATTGAGGTTCCTAGTACCCAGTCCGCACGCGTTCGTGTCGGGTCGCGCCGTTGGTACATCCACACGTCCCAATTGAAGCCCTACGTTGCCCCTCGTGTCGATGCGTCATCTCCTAACATTGCCTTGCCGGTGTCTGTCGCGTCCGACGTGCCACTGCCCTTGCCTGTTCAACCTGCAAGCGTGCCTGTCGTGCCTCCTGTAGACGGGCCGACGGTGATCCTACCGGACACAGGGATTTCTGCATCGGGTGGGCCTACCACGGCGACGGGAGCACCTGCTTCCACTGCCCCTCTAACCCCGCCGAGGTTGTGGCTGCAGGGGGCCCCGATTTCGGGCCTCTCTGATGCGCGGGGTTCTGCAAAGGACGGGCCTCCACCAGTGGCGGATGATTCCGGCTCCGTCGCTCCAACCCCATCCGGACTGCGGTCTCTGAGGGCGCCGGTTCTCATGAAGGACGGGCCGGCGGCCCGCACTCGATGCAGATCCCTTCCCTTACGTTGATTGTATTCGTCATTATTGTTGTTCTCTGTTGTGCCTGTTGTGGTTCTTGGAGGTGTTGCCATCGCTCGCATTATTTTCATCTTGGTCCTTTACATCAGGGTGGGGGGGGGGGGGTCATGTAATGCGAGCGTAAGCGGGGTTCACTGCTGGGCTCTGGGCCAATCATACGGCCCGGGGTATTGGGGGGCGGAGCCCAGTATGGGGGCGTATGTGAAGGTCCGCCGCTCACCTCGGGTCCAATCGGAATCGAGGTGAGTGGGGGCGGAACCTAAAGGCGGAGCCAGCAAGGAGCTATGGGGAGGCCAGATCTGGAAGGTTCGGAAGGGCATGGTGAGAGGGAGGAGACAGGATCACGTGGTGAAGGGGATATAGGTGGGAGCCCGGAAGGGCTCTGGGTCAGTTGGGAGAATCACGAAGCTGGACCACGTTGGGTGGCCGGAGGGAATCCGCGCCATCAGATTTGCAGCTTACAGAAGCCCTGACTGACAGGTCACGTGATAGATCAGAGATGGATGTAGGGGAAGGGTCACGAAAGGGACACATCGAGAACCTGCTAGTAGGTTCCAGAAGAGGGGCGTGGCCAGGGCATAGCGAGGCCACGCTGACAGTATAAGAGGGGCCCCGGGAGGGGACCTCGGGGCTGTCGTGTGGAGTGGGATCCTGTCGTGCTCCTGCTGCTAGAGTCTTCGTCTCCGTCTACACCATCTCAGCATCGCCAGTCAGGCAGTCTACTCGCTGTCCTGACTGGGAATCATAGTTACCATGTGTGAACTGTGAAGGCCGTTTAATAAATAGAGTGCCTCCTACTCTTTGTGTCTCTGAGTCAGTCACTATACTATGATACAGGCAAAAAGGTCAAATAATACAGTATCATGTCACACAGCATCATACCACACATCATCATACCACACATCATCATTACACACATTATCATCATCACGCAGCCCATATCCCACACACGGAGTCACCCCATGTGTTAATTTGTGTGACTTCATGAGTCCATACCGGTTTGTCTCCTTTAGGTGAACCTGCAGGAGTCAGACACAGGCGGCGCGAGTCAGTTCATCTCCAGCCACGTTAACCACACGGTGATTCATAGACGCGATGAGCTGGGCTGCGCTCAGCCATTCGCATATCCCAGTGTTGTTGGTTGTAAACAAGTCGTTCGGACTCGATGGTTCTCATCAGCAAGGTGTAGCCTTTAAACCGTTGCCACTCGGTACCCAATGTCACAGGAAGCGTCCGTAGCATTCGATGTCGATTCGCAGTGATTGTGAACTAATATTCAAATTAAGTACGCACTGTGAGGGTGAATTACACCCAGAGAATCGCGTTAGCAGAGTCGATAGTTTAACAGGGTGAACATTTTTTGAAGCAGGCAATCTCCACATTGGTCTCATCAGCAGTCAGTGCTGAAAAACAAAGCCCTCTGTATTTCTTAGAGTTAAAAGCACTTCTATTTTCAGCATGACTGATGGTTGGTCTACATTTGGTTGCATCAATAATTAAAATGTAGTGTGAAGAAATCTCAATCTGTTGCACATTACAGGACCATGCGGTTACAATTTAAAATGCCAATATGTGCAGACATTACCAACGGATTAACTCGAGGGATTTGCGTGTTAATCATTTATTTATGAATTTGAATTTCAAAAGTAATTTATATTTTTATCAGAATATGCAAATTCACGTCAGTGGACTTGATTCCTCATTTAATTTCAGAATGAATGGGCTATACATTGTATTGGCAATGCTTTATCCTTGCGTTGAGTTGCATCGCATGTGCCATGTTAAAAAAAACGCAACAAATATACGCAAACTGGGGCACTTGTCCTGGCTCCGTGAGCGCTCTACCTGCAGGAATGTGAGCGAGTCCCTCTCCTCCTGCAGAGCGCGCAGGCGCGTTGCTGCTGCCTGGAGGTCGCTGATCTCACGTTTGTAATGAGCGATGTTCTCCTTGATCTGGGACAGGAGCTCACGCCCCTTCATGTCCACGCGATCCAGAGCTGCCCTCTCCTCTTCATCCAGCGTCGCCCTCATACGGGTGAACTCACCTGAGATGCGAGCCTTGGTCTGGACCATGGAATCCTGCAAAGGGGCATGCGATAGACTCTATCAATTCATATACCATGCTGTGAAGACCAAAGTCACATTGTTTTCTGGATATTTCAAACCTAGATTTCCCTGCCTCGACATTGTCGTTGAGCTCCCACTTAACAGGTCAATAACTTTATGTATCTAGGTGTTATCTTGTCCTTTACATTGATAATCTGGCCAGTAATTATATAGTCCAAGCCACCATCCTCCCCATCTTTGACGCCTGTGTAATCATCGACCGCCTAGCCTCTTGTTCCATTATACCACCTGGCCGCCCACTTTGACCTTGATGCCTCCATATCAATGCATGATTACATCCTCTGTATCACCTCTAATTTGTCCCCCTGGATACCTTCATCCTTAACGTTCTTTTGAACAAAACTGACAAATACGTGTGAAAACAGTACAGGGGACTAGCGGTCACAGGGGGTAATGACAGGGTAAATAGCAAAGGAAGAGACTAGGGGCCACAAAGGGAAATGACAGGTTAAGGGACAGACAGGGGAAGGATCAAGAATAGTGGCTGTGGTCAAGTGATAGAAGGCAGTAGGTATGGGTCAGGGGCCGAGAGCCATCCAGAAGGTTCTCGAGTCTGAGAGTGTGAGCGTGAGTGTATTTGTGTGTGAGTCTTAGTTACCTAGAGTGTTATACAGGTAGGAACAACAGGTTCCACACTGCCCACCAGGGATTACTTGTCTGTCTGTCATGCATATCCGGAATTCCGCCCACCCATGCACCTCCCCACCGAACACCGAGCTATGCCGCGATTTGTTGACGATGTTGGGGAGGGTGGGGGGAAGGGTAAACATGCCCACTCATCCAACTGCCCCCCCCCCCCCCCCCCTGAACGCCGCGCTGTCCAACCAAGTTCCTACCGGCCCACTCCGAAGGAACGTGTTTTTGACCAGACAGGGCCCACTGAGCTGTATACGATTCGGAAGTGACCTTTCCTCGAATGATGGCTCAACGAATTGGCGGCTTAAATGTAGAGATTGAATGCTGTGGCCGCCTTCCCCACCCAGCCCCTGCCTCCCCACCCAGCCCCTCCCCACCCTCCCCTCCCTACCCAGCCCCTCCCCACCCAGCCCCTCCCCACCCAGCCACTCCCCACCCTCCCCTCTCTACCCAGCCCCACCCACCCCTCCCATATTTGGAATGCACGACGGACAAAATAATCCCCTGGGGGCTGGTGTAACCAGAGGTTCCTACCAGTATAATGTCTGTTTATGTCATTGTTATATTCTCTGCAAAGAGTCTAGCGATTATGTTGGTGTTGGGTATTATATAATTTGGCATCCAACTAGGACCCATATCATTACAAAAGGGCCTTTGCCTATAAACATAGGGTAGTACATCAGCCTTACCTCAAGCAAGCCTGACTGATACCGAGACACTGGGTGTGGAAATTAGTCCAGAGTTTGCTTTTACCGGATCAATACTTTTGAAACGATGCACTCCCACATCGTGGAGCTGATAGGATGTGTACATTTTTTCTCATGATTTTTATAGAGGCAGATATATAATGGAGACTTTTATCTGCTTATATGTTTTTGTTAGGAATATTTTCCACGTTTCTTTTAAATATCACCAGCTGATCTGATGCCCTACATTACAATGTATACTTTTGCATGCGAAAACACAAACAGGCTCATAGCAACATCGTTGAAAACATATCAAAAGTAGACATGATTACGTAATTAGCCTTACCAATAAAATGTCTTGCACTAAGATTTAATCACGTTAACATCACTATTCGTGCAATTCAATTTAAAATGTTTGAAATATTCAGACTCTTTTGTTATGTTGGCTTGAGAGTTGGGTGCGTGTCATGAGAGCAATATTTTTTTCCAGCATTCCCGAACTCTCTTGATCTCGCGTCTCTTGTATTTATTCTGTCATTTAACAGCCGATTTCCTGTCATTTCATCTTCATCTTTACTCGTTTAATTTCTAGTTTCTAATTCAATACAATAGTTACTCCATACTGCGTTATTTTATCTCACTCATTGCAAGTCATTCGAGTTAGCCTGCGAAGTGTTGTGTAGTCTCACGAGATATTAACTTTTTTTTACATATAAACGTTGCATTTTTTTTTAAATCATTTATATTTCAAGCACCCATAGCCATAATCATGCAATATCCTGCACAGTTATTACACACTGACTAAAGACTATCAAAATTAACTTGAATCTACGGAGTTGTTCTCACAGGGAGAGAGTCACAGACTCCACGCAGGGTGGAGGTCACAGGATAACAAAGCCCACGTGTGGTACCTGCACGGCCTTGCGAGCGGCCTTCATCCGTCCCACGGACGCCTCCGCCTTCTTCCTCTTCTCCTCCACCGCTCGCGTCTCTGCTCCAACTCCATTCTGTAAGAGACGAGTCCACCAAAGGAGGTTCAACTTCCTATGCGGCTCCTCTCAGCCCCACTCCACACGGAGTCCTCCACAGTGATCGTTCTATAACTGCCCACCAGAACAGAGTCCAAGGAAGTCAGCTTGAAAGAAAAAAGAGCGCGAAAAGAGAATCATCCCATCCTGATGGTCTTCATTTAATGAGATGTTGTTGTAGTACCACTCTTATGGATCCAGGTCATGGTATTGTTCGCTCCTGAGTGACTCCAACTCAACCCACGCGGGCCTCACCTTCCGTGTCTGATGCTCATCCTCCAGTGTGACGAACTTATGACCCGTGTGGTCTCCTGCGATGGTGCAGTCCCTGCACACGAGGCTGAGGTCTTGCTTGCAGTAGAACTTGAGCTCCTCGTTGTGCCTCTTGCACTTGCGTTCTTCAGGGTTCACATCTGATGAAACCAGGACGTGATCTTTAAACTTCGTATTTTTCAGGTGAGGCACGAGGTGTTCCCTGCAGAAGGACGTCTCACACCTGAGGCAGGTCTTCACTGCAAGCGTCTTGCCTTTTGGGCAGTTGTCACAGAATACAGCAGCAGCCATGGTCTCAGTTACTCGCAGCTGCTCTATGAGGTTGGCGATCGTTACGTTCCTGGTCAGCTGGGGTCGTCGAGGGAAGGTCTTGCGGCACTGCGGGCAGCAGTAGAAGTCTGTCTCCTTCCAGGCATCCTCCAGGCACTGGAGGCAGAACGAGTGGCCGCAGCTCAGCGTGGAGGGGCAGTCAAACGTTTCCAGGCAGATGGAGCAGGTCAACTCACGGTCCACGTTGTCAGCGGGAGCTGCGCTCGCCATGACCCGAGGATGCACCCAAAATAGTTCCTCACTATGCCTCAGAGAATATATTTCAACAAAAATACTTTATGTTTATAATATCGTGAGATGTTGATTAACATTGTCGAGGTGTGTTCTGTTCAGGAGACGCTGTGTGAGCAGCTCACGCAGCGGAGACGAACAAGAAAATTAACTGACTTCACCTACAGTTAAATTATAAATATCTCGAGACACGCCCTGGAATGTTCCACACGGCGGCTGGGCTCACCTGTGTAGACGTGGCGTTACAGTCACGCACTGTGTTAGCTAAAACTGATTTTTGTCTTCTTGGTTCTTTCGGTAAAGTCACGTAGAAGGGAAGTAATAAAATAATAAAAATAAAACATAATAAAATAATTCTCACGACGTTTCGGCCACAACGCAAGCAACCGTCCTCAGGTGAAGAACAGGTCTGTTGATAAGACAGTCTGAATGACACGTCCTAGGCTTGGAGCGTCTATTTAAGCTGAATGACACGTCCTAGGCTTGGAGCGTCTATTTAAGCTGAATAGACGCTCCAATCCTAGGACGTGTCATTCAGACTCTGTCTTATCGACAGACCTGTTCTTCACCTGAGGACGGCTGCTTGCGTTGTGGCCGAAACGTCGTGAGAATTATTTTATTATGTTTTATTTTTATTATTTTATTACGTCCCTTCTACGTGACTTTACCGAAAGAACCAAGAAGATGAATTCCCGCAGTCACGAAAGCTTTAAATCGAAATTTACAGATTTTTGTGTTTAGTTTGTTGTCCTTCCCCTGCACTTCCAATTAACACGGTTGGCTACGTACGGTGTGGAAGAAGTCCAACAGACATACATAAATAGCTTTGACTGGTCTCAAGTGATATAATATTTGTACAAACAAAATCCAGCAGCAGCAGCCAGGGACGCAGCGATAATGGTTTGTCCCATAGGTTGATTGACTGGCTAGGGTCAGGCTGTGTGCATTGCACAATCGAACCGCACCTTGTGCAAACATTCTGATGTACAGGTGAACTTTTTTTTTCTATCTTTGTCTTTATCCATTTTTTTCTTGCAAGGCCTGTTTGTTTAAGCTTCACAGTCTGTAATGGTCTTAAACTTTTATCAACTAATATTTTAACTACTGGCTTCATGCACCCTCTGTTCATCTGTCAATAATTTTTTAATTTTGTATTCCTATGACACCGTTTTATTCTGAGTGGACGGTGGTTGTTTGTATGTTGAACTTCTTTTACACCTAACGTAGTCAACCGTGCTAATCTAAGGTGTGTGAGTGTGTAGGTGGGTAAGCGGTTGGGTGAGCGGTTGGGTGAATATGTATGTTGAACTTATTTCGCAGCGTACGTAGTCATTCGTGCTAATCGAAGGTGCGAGTGAGTGTGTGGTGGAGGTTGAGTGAGTAAGTGGGGGGTTATTTGGTGAGAGGGGAGACAGATGAGCAGGAGGATGGCGTGAAGGGTGGGTGAGCAGGCGGTGAGAGAGGGCTGTAGGAAGGGTGGCTTGGGAGGGCGTGCGGTTGGTTGGGTCCCTGGGTGGGTGGCCTCACGCATTACAACAGTGAACAGCCTCTGGCTAAACAAACATCGTGGTTCATTTAAGCTCATTATCTACATGACTTTCACCGTCAATTTTCCTATTATGCGTAAAAAACTCTAGTATTTAAATCTTCATAACCTAATCAATATATATTCATCATTTATTGTTATTAATATTTTACATCCTAGAATCGCTGAGTTTGGACGATTCTATAAAACCTATTTTTATGTTACCAGGTAAGGCTCACTGAGGTTTATAGCTCTTCAGAAGCGACTTGGCCACAATTGATAGCTTAACGACGTGGCTTATTACGTGGACATTTTTCGCAGCCAAACACTCTAAACGCATGTTTCTAAGTGTGAAGGGAATCATCGAAGGATCGGGAGAAAAATGCACGCGACCACAGGCAGAGAGAATGCAAACTCCAAGTTCACGTACAGGCGTCAGTTTTGGGATCCAACCCCACGACCGCCTGTATGCCAGGCGAGGTAGTTAACATCTCCGAGTCACCGCGGCGCGATGTAAAAAAAATTCACAGCAGCGACAACGAACAAGAAACGAGCTGACTTCACCTGCAGCTAATTTATAAACACGAGACGCGCCCTGGAATGTTGCACGCGGCAGCCCGTACTCACCTGTGTAGACGTGGCATCACATTCACACACACAGTGTCAGGGTTACAGAGTCGCAATTGATATATTTTTACAAAACACCCACGGTAACCATGAAAATAGTGATGGTTTGTCCTACAGACTGGTTACACCCGCTTGGGCGAGGCTGTGTTTTTCACTGTAAACCACACCATGTAAATTATTATTAAAGGTTTAAAATGTTACTAGGCTTTTGCGACCAATATTATTCATTAAACGTGTTTTTGGGGTAGATCGCGTAAATATAAAAGTGTCGTTAAACCCGCCACCACCCGACACAACCAATGAGTAAGGTTTGTCACGTAAACAAAAAAACATCCGGCTAGGGTGAGGCTGTGCGTTTTGCCCAACAAACCACACAGCTGTCAGTTTGTATTCAAGGTAAAAAAAAACGATTCCCCTAAATCGACAACCAAAACAACAAGGAGAGACTTTTTATTATGTTTTACATTTCGGTAAATAAAATAGAATCCAACCAAATCATTATTTCAAGAGCACCAATACGTGGCGTGAGTCCGAGAGACGGTGGTGGTGGTCATTGATAAATAAAAACGTCTCACGAAGCAGCCGTCCCTCAGAGGACCGCACGCTGCTACGGAGCCGCAGGTTGCCGACCCCGTTGTCCTGAACCAACTGGCGTGACCGGCAAGTAATAATAATTTAATAATTATAATTTATTAATTATAATTATTAAAATTATAATTATTAAAATGTATTAATTTGATAATTATAATTAAAGTTGAATATTGATAATAAAATATGATTTAGCAATTTTTGTTACATTTGTATCTATTAATAACTTAATAACTATTGATTTGAAGCTTTCGTGACTGCAGGAATCCATACTCTTTGGTTCTTTCGGTAAAGTCACGTAGGTTTAAAATAAAATAAATCACGACGTTTCAGGCGCAACACAAGCATCCGTCATCAGGTGGGAAAGCATGGTCTGCTGCTGAGGCAGACTGTTTTAAAAGGTTTGAAATGGGTGTAGCCCAAGGGTCATAAATAAGTGGCCGGAGCTAGTGAAGTTAATGTTACAAATTAGCATGTAACTGTAGAAAAGAAGGAAAGCGGCCTCCTCGACGAGGGCACGGAAGTGGCTATGTTAATGTGAGAGATTAGCATGATGTTAATGTGAGAAATTAGCATGATGTTAATGTGAGTCACGAAAGCTTTAAATCGAAATTCACACACACATAATCACAAAAACATAATCACACGCACACAAACCCCTAGACAACGAGAGAGCCAATAATCATCGAACCTACTTAATAATCACACAATCACTTAATAACTGCACACACACACAATCACATAATAACTGCACACACACACAATCACACAATCACACAATCACATAATAACTGCACACACACAATCACATAATAACTGCACACACACATAATCATTCACATAATCACAGACATATACACACATAATCACATACACTTAATTAACTCAATCACAAACACATAACTCACTCACACATAAGCACACAATCACATACACGTCCAATAATCATTTTTAACACATGAATTACACTTAACACACATTTCCAGTTAATAACACTTAATTACACATGTTAACATATTTTACGTAATACATTTTTTAAAAATATTTTTTAAATCACATTTTCATTTTACATTTAATTTATAATTTCATCACAATAGATACAACAGACGGATGATCTCACATGAGGAGCGCGAGTAGCGGCATGGAGAGTTCGACTCCTGCCACCTCGACAACAGCGACGGCGACGTCTGAGGCCGTTTTACAGGGGGATTACCGAGACTTGCGTCGTTTATAGAGGACTATGGAGAGAAGAGCTTTCGCTGAAGCAGTGGGGCGAAGGGCTAAGCAGCCATCCATGTGAGTAGATAGATGGATGATGATGACGTGGATGAAAATAATAATAACCATGCTGAAAAAGTTACAACCAACACCCACTCATCTGCACCCAACACCCTCCCACCTGGTCATCTGCCACTCCCTAACCCACGACCCACCCAGCCATCTACAGAGACCTCACCACCCCTCACATCTCCCCGCCAGCCCACACTCATCTCATGCCTGCACAGGTGCCCACCCAATTACACGCCCATCCATTCACACACACCCACCCAACTGATCACTCGCCCAACGAAATAACCTGGCCCACTTTCCAACCTGCCCATCTGCTCACCCGCTCACCTGCTCAACCCGACAACCTATTCACCTTAATTCTAGATTTGAAGCTTTCGTGACTGCAATAATTCATACTCTTAGTTTTTTTCGGTAAAGTCAGGTAGGTAAAAAAATAAAATAAATATTACTAAAAGTAATATTAGAAATAAAATAAAATAATGCAAAAAATATTTAACTACACATTTTTGGACCATCTTATTTGACAGGCACTATTTTACTTTACCGAGTGTTAACATCCCCAACGTTTAACAGTACTTTCCTTTTTGTATTTTATTGTCAACGGGGTAAAACAACATGGGTATTTTCGTTCTCTTCTAGCATGTGCACCAACAGGTCCAACAGTTCCACATTCACTATTTTAGCCCCCCCCTCCCAATACGTTCCATTCATTGGCTACCACATTCATATAAGCTCCTCCCTTCCTCCTCCCCCCTTAACTTGTATTTAAGAACAGTTTAGGTCGAGGTACACCGATTGTTCTCTTGCACTTGACGACGTTGACCAATTTCTCTTGTAGCCCCGCCCACCACATTCAGATAAGCCCCTCCCCCTTTCACTTGTATTTAAGGGCTGGTCTTTTGAAATGTTTCCTCACTTGATGCAGTAATTTTAGCGGTGACGGTCCCACCTGATGACGGAGACTTGTGTTGCCTCCGAAACGTCGTGATTTATTATTTTATTTCTATTATTACTTTTAGTCATTTATATTTTTATTTTTTTACCTACGTGACTTTACCGAAAAAACCTAAGAGTATAACCTATTCACCTGCCCACCGACTCACCCATCCTGCCGATCGCCAATCACCAGGACTAAAACGGCATCCCAAGAAAAAAGTGATTTTACAAATGACCATCAGAGATCACGAGGCACAGATTGAACACATTAAGTTGATGTAGATTTGAAACAATTCCACAGATGCTGAACAAATAAATGATAATGACTGCGACGAGTATAATTTTTAGGGTTAGACTACGTGAATATAAATGTCCCGTTAAAGCTGCCACCACCTGACACAGCCAATCAGTAAGGTTTGTCACTTAAATAAAAAGTGCCAATTAGTTATTACTTCAGCACACCGGTGGTGTATTGGAGAGTAAATCCACAACGATGACAATTCGAGTATGACGTATCGCTGGTGATTACAAGCAGCTTCATCAGGCAATAGCCAGAATTGTCGAAAGGTAAATGCTGTGGGTTTACTCTCCAACACACAACCGGTGTGCTGGCGTAACTAATCGGAATGTTCTGTTCAAGTGACAAACCGTAATTCATTGACTGTGTCGGGTGTGATGGCGGGTTTAACAACACTTTTAAATTTACGCGATCTAACCAATAGAAAAAAAAATACGGATTTTAGTCGCGAAAACTTACGTATAACTTTTAAACTTTTATATAAGAATTTACAATGTGCAGTTTACTCTGAAGAAACCCAGCCTCACCCTATCTGGTGTAACCAGTTTGTGGGACAACCATTACCGTGTTCATGGTTACCGTGGGGTTTTTGTATAAATATATCAATTGCGACTCTTAAACCCTGACACTATGTGAATGTAACGCCACACCTACACAGATGAGCAGGGCTGCCGCGGGGAACATTCTAGGGCGTGTCTCATTGTGTTTATAATTTAACTGCAGGTAAAATCAGGTCGTTTGCTTGTTCGTCGTGACTGCTCAGTGACTTTTTTAAATCCTTTATATTAAGTTCGCTTGCTTGCTTGCGTGCGTGCGTGCTTGCTTGCTTGCTTGCGTGCCTGCTTGCTTGCTTACGACCGTGCAAATCTTTCGGTCGTTTTTTAACCCACTTCCCGTGATCCAATCGAGCTGACATTTTCCACACATACTCGTTGTGTGACAATTAATTTTCGTGAAAAAAAAATTCAAAAATTTTACACTGTTTAGGGAAAACAAATTAAATATTTAATTACCAATTGCTTAATGGTGGCAGACAATCATCTGACCCATAGGTGGCAGCCATCTCAAGCCAGAGGACGAGAGGATTCTAGCCGCCACGCATATAAAGGATTTATAGTGAAAAACTTTGTTTTTACGGGTTTACTTGTTTACATCTCGCTGCGGTGGCTAGAAGATGTTAACTACCTCGCCTTGTATACAGGAGGTTGCGAGTTCGATTCCGACCCTGACGCCTGCTGTATAGTTGGGGCCTGCGTCTCTCTCATCATCATCATCGTCATCATAGTGGCTAGGAGATGTTAACTACATCGCCTGGTGCACAGGAGGTCGTGGGTTCGATCCCGACCCTGACACCTGCTGCTGTATCTTTGGAGTTTGCATGTCTCTCTCTCGCCGTGGTCCTGTGGATTTTTCTCTGCTACCTCCACTTTCCCCTCGACATTTGGAATCCACATCACGCGTTCAGAGTTAATGGCTGAGAAAATGTCCACGGGAAAAGCCATTTCGCTGGGCTTTCATTTGTGGCCAGGTCGCATTTGGATAAAAAAGCTACGTAGCTCAGTGGACCTTACCTTGTTATTTTTATTTATATTTTGATAGAATCTGCCAAACTCAGCGAGTCCAGGATTTTAAATGTCAACATTGACAAGAATAGGTGATGCAGACTTTTTGTTTAAGTGATGATGATTTTAAACTTTCAGCAATATTTTTTGTATGTGTAATAAACCTTCTTGAGACGGCTTCCGGAATCAGTCCTTTTTATTTTCAACTTCCACAGTTACACTTTACACACACACTCTCCGTTGCTGGCAGACAACGGAGAGAGGGCAGACTTCCCGCCAAGTCCCCACCGCGCACGTGGCACCCAGAGCCCCCGTACGCGCATGACTCCCGCTCTTCTCGTTCCCAAGTCTGCTCTCGACTGCTCTCTCTCTCTCTCTCTTAATCCCTTCGTCACGTGGTACCCCCCAGCCAATCCTCCATAGACAGCGTTGACCGTTCGCGATGGTTCCCTGTCAATCCCGGGACCACGCCTCTGATCCGGCTCCCCATTAGCTGAGGCCCCGATTGGCCAGGCCAATCACCCCTGCTAACATGCCTCGATCACGCCGAGGCCATGCTCCCTGGCTCATCCCTTATTGGCTACAAAGCAGGACCGGCAAGCCAATCCCCACGTGAACCCTCTATGGCTGTTATTACATATGCATAATAGGAAACTGTACAGTGAATGCCATATCGATTATCTTTAATGAACGACAATATTTGTTTTGCCAGAGGCTGTTCGCTGTGTCAATGCATGAGGCCAACCACCCAGGGACCCAACCACTCAACCTCACGCCCTCCCAGCCCCCCTTCATCCCTCCATTACCGCCCGCTCGCCGACCCTTCACCCCATCCTCCTGCCCATCTGTTTCCCCTCTCATCAAATAACCACCCCACTCACTCACTCAACCTCCACCACCATCCACTCACTCGCTCGTACCTTCGATTAGCATGAGTGGCTTCGAACGCTGCGATATAATTTCAATATACATACTCACCCACACACACTCAACCATCCACCCAACCACTCACTCACACACACACAACAACAACAACCGCCATTCGCCACTAAGTGGCGGTGACGTCACCACGACGTTGTTCCAGGCTATGTGCACCTTGAGGCCACGTGAAGTGTCGAACGCCCGCTGGCAGGAGGTCATGGGGCAGACCCAGATGCCACAGGACGATTGACTGAGACGACTGACTTGCATCGTTTACAGAGTACTATGGAGAGAATATCTTTCGCTGAAGCAGTGGGGCGGAGGGCTAAGCAGCCATTCATGTGAGTAGGTAGATGGATGATGATGAACTGGATATAAATAATAATAACCATGCTGAAAAAGTTACAACCAACACCCAGTCATCAGCACCCCTAACCCACGACCCACCCAGCCATCTACAGAGACCCCCCTGCTACATCTCCCCGGCAGCGCACATTCATCTCATACCTGCGCAGGTGCCCACCCAATCATCCGCCCATCCATTTACACACCAACCCAACTGATCACTCACCCACCAAATAACCCGGCCAACCCTCCAACCCGCCCATCTGCGCACCCGCCCACCTGCTCAACCCGACAACCTTTTCACCTGCCCACCGACTCACCCATCCAGCCAATCGCCAACCACCAGGACTAAATCCGCATCCCAAGAATATAAATGATTTTTCAAATGACCATCAGAGATCACGAGGCACAGATTGAATACTTTAAGTTGATGTAGATTTGAAACAATTCAAAATTTAGAATTCTAAAACACAGATGCTGACCACATAAATGGTAATGACTGCAACGAGGATACTTTTTTGGGTTAGACGACGTGAATATAAATGTGTCGTTAAAGCTGCCACCACTTCACACAGCCAATCAGTAAGGTTTGTCACTTAAATAAAAAGTGCCAATTAGCTACTACTTCAGCACACCGGTGGTGTATTGGAGAGTAAATCCACAACGATGACAATTCGAGAATGACGTATTGCTGGTGATTACAACCAGCTTCATCAGGCAATAGCCAGAATTGTCAAAAGGTAAATGCTGTGTGTTTACTCTCCAACACACAACCGGTGTGCTATAGTAACTAATCGGAATGTTCTGTTTCAGTGACAAACCGTAATTCAGTGGCGGGTTTAACGACACTTTTATATTTATGCGATCTAACCCAAAATGAAAAAAAATATTACGGATAATATTGCTCGCGAAAACCTATTTATAACTTTAATAAGAATTTACAACGTGCAGTTTACTCCCAGCCTCACCCTATCTGGTGTAACCTGTCTGTGGGACAAACCATCACCGTGTTCATGGTTACCGTGGGGTTTTTGTATAAATATATCAATTGCGGCTCTTACACCCTGACACTGTGTGTGTGAATGTAACGCCACGTCTACACAGATGAACAGGGCTGCCGCAGGGAACATTCCAGGGCCCGTCTCGTGGTGTTTATAATTTAACTGCAGGTGAAGTCAGGTCGTTTGCTTGTTCATCGTGGCTGCTCGTGGATTATTTTTTTACATCTAGCTGCGGTGGCTCTGAGATATTAACTGCCTCGCCTTGAATACAGGAGCTCGTAGGTTCGATCCTGACCCTGACGCCTGCTGTATATTTGGAGTTTGCATGTCTCTCTCGCCGTGGTGCTGTGGATTTTTAACCGCTTCGTCCACTTTCCCCTCGACATTTATAATCAACATCACGTGTTTAGAGTTTTTGGCTTAAAAAATGTAAAAGTGAAAAGCCACCTCGTTGAGCTTTTATTTGTGGCCAGGTCGCCTTTGGGAAAAAAAGATCTACGTAGCTCAATGGACCTTACCTGGTAAAATATTCTTTTTTTAATATATAGAATCTGCCAAACTCGGCGAGTTCAGGATGTAAAATTTTAACATTGACAAGAATAGGTGATGAAGACTTTTTTTGTTTACGTGATGACAATTTTAAACGTTGAGCAAGATTTTTTTTATGCATTATAGGAAAATGTACAGTGATAGTCATACAGATAATGAGCTTAAATGAACGACGATGTTTGTTTAGCCAGAGACTGTTCGCTGTTGTAATGCGTGAGGCCACCCACCCAGGGACCCAACCACTCAACCGCACGCCCTCCCAGCCACCCTTCCTCCACCCCTCCCTCCATCACCGCCTGCTTGACCACCCTTCACGCCACGCTCCTGCCTATCTGTCTCCCCTCTCACCAAATACCCCCCCACTCGCTCAACCACCACCACCACCCACTCACTCGCACCTTAGATTAGCACGAGTGCCTACGTACGCTGCGAAATAAGTTCAACATACATACTAACCCACTCACCCACCTACACACTCACCTACTCACCCACACACCTCCGATTAACACGGTTGACTACGTACGGTGCGAAAGAAGTTCAACATACACACAACCACCATCCGCCCAGAATAAAACGGTGTCGTAGGAATAAATAAACAAAACAAATATTGACAGATGAACAGAGGACGCATGAAGCCAGTAGTTAAAATATCTTACTAGTAGGAACCTCTGGTTACACCAGCCCACAGGGGATTATCTTGTCCGTCGTGCATTCCAAATATGGGAGGAGTGGGTGGGGCTGGGTGGGAAGGGGAGGGTGGGGAGGGGCTGGGTGGGGAGGGAGGGGCTGGGTGGGGAAGGCTCAATCTCTACATTTAAGCCGCCAATTCGTTGAGCCATCATTCGAGGCAAGGTCACTTCCGAATCGTATACAGCTCAGTGGGCCATGTCCGGTCAAAATAAAACATTTAGTTGAGCACTGTACACACGTGTGATGTAAGGCTTGTGCCCGCCCTCACAGTCTGCCATATTTGCGGAATACACCACGCCGCCGTTGACCCTGGCCATTGACCGAGCAGCCCAACGTTCCTACCAGCTCCCTCCGCAGGAATGTGTTCTTATATATAAAAGTCTCCGCACGCGCGCTTGCGAGGGATTTGGCTCTCGAACGGTGGGCTTTACGAAGAAAAAATTTGACAGCCGGCACGCCCTAAGCCCCGCGGTGGGAATAGGCTATTCCTTTTTCACGGCCGTGACCTTTAAATTAGTTAAATTAGTGATTTAGTGGCATTTTGCTATATTTATTTATTTATGCAGAGTGCCGGGAGACTAAAGCACAGCAAGTTGCCACAGTAGGGGGCACAGGTGGTGCATCAGCCAGTCGTCTCAGTCAGTCGACCTGTGCCATCTGGGTCTGCCCCGTGACCTCCTGCCAGCGGGCGTTCGACACTTCACATGACCTCAAGGTGCACATAGCCTGGCACAAGCGTTGTGGTGATGTCATCGCCACTTAGTGGCAAATGGCGGTTGTTGTTGTTCAGTCTATGTATGTATCTGTGAGTCGATGTGTGTGTGTAACTACATGTGTATGTCTAAAGTCGATGTCTGTGTGTGTGAGTCCATATGTGTGTGTGTGCGTCTAAGCCCACGTGTTTCTATGTAATGTGGGTCGATGTCTTTGTGTAACTCCATGTGTGTGTCTGCCTTTTTCGCCCGGGTAATGCCGGGTACTTACCGCTAGTTAGCTGATAAAGGTGGAAGACCATTACAGACTGCAAAGCTTAAACAAACAGGCCTTGCAAGAAAAAAATGGATAAAGACACAGATGGTAAAAAAACAAGTTAACCTTTACATCAGAATGTTTGTACAAGGTGCGGTTCCACTGTGCCAATGCACACAGCCTCACCCTAGCTGGTCAGTCAGCCTGTGGGACAAACCATTATCGCTGTGTCCCTGGCTGCTGCTACTGCTGGGTTTTGTTTGTACAAATATTATATAACTTGAGACCGGTCAAAGCTATGTATGTATGTATGTTGAACTTCTTCCCAAGTGCAGGGGAAGGACAACAAACTAAATACAAAAATAAGTTTTAGCTATTACACAGTGCGTGACTGTAACGCCACGTCTACACAGGTGAGCGTGGCCGCCGTGTGGAACATTCAAGGGCGTGTCTCGAGGTATTTATAACTTCACTGCAGGTGAAGTCAAGTTAATTTCCTTGTTGATCTTCGCTGTGAGCAGCCGCTGCTGCTGCGATAGCTCCTCCGTGTGCCGCGGCGAGCTATTGAGTCCGAGAGAAGCCATGGGCCATGGCGAGCGCGTCTCCCAGTGATTGTGTAGACAGTGAGCTGAGCTGCCCCATCTGCCTGCGCACGTTTGACTGCCCCTCCACGCTGAGCTGCGGCCACTCGTTCTGCCTCCGGTGTCTGGACGGTGCCTGGGAGAAAGCGAGCAGCTTCAGCTGCCCGCAGTGCTGAGCGGCCTTCCCTGAGCGACCCCAGCTGAAGAGGAACGTGGCGCTCGCCAACCTGGTGGAGCAGCTCAAAGTCGGATAGAAGATGGCCTCCCCTGTCCTGTGTGACGTCTGTAATGACGGGAAGACTCCCGCAGTGAAGACCTGCCTGAAATGTGAGATGTCCTACTGTGAGATACACGTAAAGCCTCACGTGGAGAATCTCAGGTTGAAGGACCACGACCTGGTGGCTCCCATTGCGAATCTGGAGGAACAACGATGCAAGAAACATGGAGACCCTTACAGGTTCTTCTGCAAGCAGGAAGTTGCAGCTGCTGCACACAAAAGGCTCGTGTGCAGGGCCTGCACCATCGCAGGAGACCACATTGGACATCAGGTCATCACACTCAAGGATGAGCACGAGACACGGAAGGTGAGGCCCTCAGGGAGTGAGAGCCACTCAGGTGCAGACAAACAATACCACAAAGAGCCGATAAAAGTTGTCACTGCGCATAATAACATGGGATGTAAAGCATCAGTGTCACTGGGAATAATATTAAAATCTCAAACAAACCTCACCGTGGGTTTATTCTTTCTCCATGGTCCTTTACCTTTTTTATTTTAAGTTAGTCTGGGCTGACTTCCTGACCACTTCTGGTGGGTATTATAGAGCGATTACTGTGGAGGGCTCCGTGTGGAGTGAGGCTGAGAGGGGGCCGCTCAGGGAGTGGAGTCTCCTCTGGTGCCTTTGACTCTTGCAGAGTGGAGTCGTTGAGGAGACGCGAGCGGTGGAGGAGAAGAGGAGGCAGGCGGAGGCGTCTGTGGGATGGATGAAGGCCACTCGCAAGGACGTGCAGGTACTACGCATTGGCTCTGTCACCCCGTTACCTCCACCCTGCGTGAAGTCTGTGACTTCCTGTGAGGACAACTCCATAGATTCAAGTGAACTTTGTTAGTCTTGAGTCAATGTGCAATTACTGTGCAGTATATTTAATTATTATGGCTATAGATGCTTGAAATGCAACCAAAAAATGCCAATTGATATAAAAGCATTCGTATAATGTGCGATTGCAAAGGATTTCACAGGATTACTCGAATGACTTGCAATGTGTGAGATAAACTAAAAATTAAACTTTTTATTTTACCAGTACCCAGCTTTCCCAGGGAAAAAAACAACATTACAAAACTTGTCTTCTGTTGATATTAATCTGTTATAAAAGCCGTTAGTCTGTCCATTTGTTCATCAAATAAAATTACGAGAGGCTTACAGAAGGCCTGAATAAAAAAAAAGTTAAAGAAAGTGGGGGATAAATAGTTGATCCAAAAGGTTTCCAAAAATTGTCCACCCACCCCCCCCCCCCCCTCGAAAAATGTGTTTCCCCCCCGCCACACAATTTTTTGTCGGCATATATACCTACACACCATACATACAATAGAGTCAGTAGTATCTACTGACTAGTAGATACTACTGACTATCTACTAGTCAGTAGTATCTACTGACTAGTAGATACTAACTACTGACTACTGAGTAGTATCTACTGACTCTATAGTAGTATCTACTGACTCTATAGTGGTATCTGACTCTATGGTAATATCTATTGACTCCATAGTAGTATCAATTCACTCTACAGGAGTAACTACTTACGCTACAGTGGTATATACTGACTCTACAGTGGTATATACTGACTCTACAGTGGTATCGACTGACTCTATAGTGATATCTGGCTCTAGTACTATCTACTGACTATAGTAGTATCTACTGACTCGATTTTAGTATCTGACTCTATAGTAGTGTCTACTGACTGTATAGTAGTATCTACTGACTGTAGCAGTATTTACTGGCCATAGTGGTACCTACTGACTGCAGTAGTATCTACTGACTCAATAGTAGTGTAATGAGAAAGCGCCATCCAGGGGGTACCAGATGGTAACGGGTACGGACACCATGCTGTCATCGGCATCCAATCCTAAAGGGGGATATGATCGGGCCAGAGAGGACGGGCGGGGTTGCTGACAGAGGTTCGGGAACCCTCGAGAAGGTTCCCCGAGGGGGTGTGGCCAGAGGCGGGGCTTAGCTCCGCCGAGTAGGATATAAGGGAGATTTGGGCATTGCTCGTGGTCGGTGTGGGAAGCCTGTGTTCTGGACGGCGTCGTTGCTCATCTCCTCCTCACCACGGGCCACGTGGCGGATCCTCCCTCGGAGCTCACCTCCGCTTCTAGCGCACCGTCAGCCATCGGCAAAGCCAGGACAGCAGAGTGAGCCTCGCGGGAGCTCGGAGAGAGAGGGATGCCTCGTCCACGGGGTTGGAAGAGGGAAACCACCGGAGAGGGAAAAGCGAAGCCATGCTGTACCATCGTGAAATAAAGAAGCACCAAACAAACAGTAGCGTCTGCCGACTCAATAGTATTATCTGACTCTATGGTAGTGTAGTGAGTTCCAGAGAGACTGACGACGGAGTCGAGGCACACTCTTTTATTAAACTCAAGGACAGTACAATACTTGAAGGGGTAACGGCCCCTTCACCCGTACTAGATGGGAAACCACCCCTAGCACTAATTCCCCTGTCCTGTTCCCAGTCCTCCTCTAATAGTGCTACGGGAGGCTGTCTGATCCGGCCCTGGTAAGCACGGATCCCGGCACCCAGCTAAGCCGGCCTTGCTCTTACAAGAGCAGAGGTCCGGAAGCTCTTGGGGCCGCGCCGCTGGCTTGCCCAGCTCGGCCCTGACAAGGGCAGAGAGACAGGGGAGTCCCAGGGCCTATTCTGCTGGTCTTCAGACTTCACTGGTAAGCTTCTTCCACACTGGCCCCGAGCTCTCTGGCTCCCCGCCTTTTATAGGGATTCCCTCCGAGGGGCGGGGTTATGGGGGATCACAGAGCCCCCATGGCCCCCCAGTGGTTAACG